GTAGTGATGGTGTAAGTGGTAGTCGGGATGTAAGAGTAGGTGTTGATCCTAGTTGGGAAAGCCATGATGTCAATACATCCACCAATGAGCGAGAACGGAGCCACCACAACGAGTTGAAGTACTTAAAGCGGTGCGATTTGCAGTGGAGCGACCTGAAAATGAACAGTATGAACTTTAGTAAAAAGCAAGAAGGGCTCATCTTTCATTGGGAGTGTTAATGGGTTGTTTTAAGAAATTTCGAAAATAATGTATAACTATAAATGTTTAAGCGATGTCATTTATTGTCACTTGGAGCAAAAAAAAATTGTTTACAAGAAAACCACTGTCCAGCAAAGTTATTGTCCGGCGAAATGTGTATTTTTTTTATTATTATGGCGAACGTAAACACCACGTTCCTCATCTGATATTTTGGCAAAGATATTGTGTGCTTTCATATTAATGTAGTTCTCCACTATGTTCTTTATGAAATTTTCTTTATGTGAAAAAAGTGAATTATGATTTTCTTCCATTTCTGGGTCAATGTGATCATCGAACTCAGTTCCATTGAAAAGGCTCTCGTAGTCTAAGTGTTGGAGAGTTGTCGTTATTACTGATCTGACGTTATAACCTTTGTCCGGTAGTAGTTCATGTATTTTGTTAATGACTTTGATTATTTCTACAGTACTTTTACATGGCTGACTCTGCACATCTGTTCCTCTAGTTAGCAACTTTCTAGAAATGAAATCGTCGCTGATTATTTCATTTTCTTGGAATACTTTTAAGCACATTTGACATTGCTTTTTATATTCATTTCGAATTTTATGTTTCACTTTTAACTCGACTTTACAAGCTGCATATGCATTTAAATGCTCATCAAATATTTCCAATCCTTCGTCCACCGCTTCTTGGTAATTGAAGTCGAGTACATCCAAATCAATTATTGCACTCTGATGCGGTTGATGTCGCATTGCTTGACATGCAGTTACCGAGGAAATAGTTAAAATTCCAGTTTCATTCGTTATGCAGTTGGCGTACTTGCCGTCGTATACCACATTATGGCAAACTAAGAGTTTACGATATAAGCTTCGAAATTCCATCGCTGTGGGATTATCGTTTGAGCCTGTAATTGTAATGAATGAAACGAAATGTAAAGAAAATGGAATTTTCCCAGTGGATCAATTCAAAATAAATTTTCGCATACCAAGGCCGCTTCTCACGCAAGAAAACCATGTCTCCAGATGATCCTGGGAAAACTGAAAAGTATGCAGGGCTTGCAATGGTCCATTCAAAACATAGTCATTATACAAACCCTCAATCGAAGTCAAATTACAGACCGTACCGAGAAACGGTGTAAATGATGACGATTGAATGGCCAACTTCCTTGTAATTTTCATAATTTTCGTTTTTTTGTTTTTGTAAACTTCATCAACTTGAACAGACTTGAAATACGACTTGACATAATGAAAATATGTGAACAAATCGTTGGCAGTGGACTCGCAGATTGGTCTTTTATAAACAAGATCGGTATATTCAGAATTCATATGATCTTTTGAACTAGCTTTCACATTACAAATGTCAAATGAGTTCTTGACAAACTGGATGAATTTTGTTGTTTCTTCACTGTTCTGAAATTGAACGTACTTGTCCTCACGTAGCTGGTCAATACCATCTGCTACGGATCTACTAATTGTTTCTGCCGCCAATCGCACATTCATTGGTTTTGTTGTATAGTTGATATGCAGGTTTGTCAATTTATTTCCCAGATTGATGTTTCTTTCCATTTGTAATTTGTGTAATTCAACGATATAATTCCAACTGATAGGTTTATCATCAAAATAGAGATTGTGGGTAGCCAAACATCCTCTGAATAATTTCATTACGTGTGGAGGATCTAATATCGCGTAGATCTTATCGTTTTGATTGGTTGGGCTTTTGAAGTATGTTTTGTTTTCATCAAAGTTCACACCTAAATGTTTCAAACAAGCTATATTGGAAATCAATCCATCCCCAGTCAGAGAAATCACCCTCGCTCCTGTTTTGTTCACATGCCGGATGACATGTTGCGTTAACGCTGCCCGCTCTAGTGCTTCCAAACCATTGAGAAGAAAATATGCGACGGGTATTTTGAAATCATCACCGACAACCATATAGACTAGGGCGTCTTTTGCAAAGTCAAGCTGATCTTTTTCTTTTCCTTTTCTTGGATTTATATTTTCACATGACACAAATCCGGAAAATGTTAAATCATTTTTATTCCAAGCGACAGATTTTTTTATGGACATTTCATCACTGATCATCGCAAGAAGCAGTTCCTTTCCATCTTTTGCCTTTTCTTCAGCTTTTTGCTTCAAAATATTCAATGAATCTGCCGTGATTCCAGGTTCTCCATTGATCGATGTATACCACCGACGTATAGTGTCAGGTGCTGGTAAATGTTTGTTGAACACTTTTCTGATATATCGATATGCTGCAGGTGAGCAAAAGTCCATTCCCATACAGAACTGTCTTACTTTTTCAGAATATTTTTTCTCAGGTTTTCCATACACCAAACATTCTACTATTTCTTTGTTATCCTAATTGAACATAAATTGAAAGAGATCAATAATTTGAATTCGTTTTTCTTTAATGACTGAAAAATTTACCGAAGAGTTTCCCCATTGTTTCTCATACAGCCTAACTTTCTTATTTAGATTACGAATTATAGCAATTTGGTCACAGAGCGATTTTTTTAGTCTTGCAATGGTCCTTTTGTCTTTTTGCCATTCAATTGAATGTTGCACGAGTCTTTTGTATACATTTATATTTATGGTTTGTGTTTCACTAAGGCGACTATGTGAACGGAGAAAATATAAAAATAATAATAATAGCTAATAAACTATTGTGAAATTATTTCTTGGATTACCCGTTATTGTCTCTAGACAATCCCAAACTCTCTAATAAATAGTTCAGGCAGTTGTCAGCATCCTCTTGATCATCATTGAAATAATCAAAATCAGCATTCCAATTCCATTCATTTTCTTTCTGTGCGTCATTAAATATTGCGGATGATTCAAATGCTTCGGCTGTCCCAGTCGCTCCAAGTGTTTCTCCTTCTTCTAATTCGGTTGCGAACAATCTTTTAGAACAGAAAAAAAAACAAAATGAATTATCCAATTTGAAAAATATTACACGATAAATACAGTTTGCAAAGTAGTACCTGACATTAGGCACTGCACCAATGACTAAGTTTTTCTTTGATCCTAAATGGATTATAGCTTTCGTATCGAAGTGTAAATCGCAGACAACAATTTTTGAGCTCGGGAAGGGAATATTTTCAGGATAGGTTGATTGAATTATTGGCATCCATTCGTCCTTATTTTTCGATGTAACGCTGTCAATTAATTCTAATATAATAATGTTTTTCTGGGCAAAATACGGACAGTAAATTGAATAAGTGTGCTTCTTATAGTTGCAATTACCTAAAAAAATGTCTCTCTTTATTTCTTTGTTTGGATTCACAGCCAAAAATTTTGCAGTATGACATGACTTTTCAGGAATTCTTAAAATAGGACAAATTTTGGGAGATCGGATGTACGATGACAAAATATGAGTTCACATTTCAAGGATATACCAAAGAAATGAGACAAAGAAATTACACACTGGAGCGGCTGAATATTTTCACACAATATAGACACAGTTAGCTTGTTAGCAATGCTGTAGTGCCCTAGCTGTGTACGTGTTTGTGTGTGTGAATGTTCGCGCCAATTATTGTTTATGCATATTGATGTCTACATCATAAGTGTCAAAGTCGATAATTTTTCCACACAACCATACACTGCTAAAATATTTCATTTCTAAAAACAACTCAAAAGCCATTAAAAAAATTAAATAGTTTTTAAATAGTGGTTTTCTTCTGAAAAAAGCAAAGGCTACTGGAGCGACTGCTTTATGATCAACATTGATGGGAACGGCTTGGAGCGGCTGTCCAACGGGTTGGAGCGGCTGTCCAACGGGTTGGAGCGGCTGTCCAACGGCTTGGAGCGGCTATCAAAATTGGTTACGATTATTACCAATATCAAATCGAAAAACATAATATATATGTTGGAAGTTAATATTTTAAGTAATTTATAGAAAAACACCAATTCACATTTCGATTTTAAAACAATCATTTATTCAAAGCATGGACTCAATAAACACATATTGTTTTCTTATTTAAAGAACGCACATTTAATACCATGATGACATTGTCATCTTTCGATAGAAAAAATATTCCTTAACCTTATTAAGGATAAATGTGAAGTGAACTTGCTTAAAGCGGTTTAAGTGTTCAGAATGACATTGGCCAAGATGAAATCATTTGTTGTTGTTGTTGCGGTGGCGGCGATGGCGGCGATGGCGGTGGTGGCGGCGGCAGTAGTTTTTTGGCCACATTATCATCAACTGCCCAAACAATCGATGCGTCAATACTTGATGATGATTGAATACGTGGTTTTTTTGCAATAATTGGACACTCTCCTGAAAAATCCAGTGCACGCTTCTTACCTATTGATAAGAGAATGAATGGACGATTTTAATTGCCATACGTTTTATGACGATTTATTATACACATAATATACCTCTGGCGCGTATCGCCAATTCATTCTGGCTAGGTCTTAGGACCTGCGATACATTTGGTGATTCGATTGGCAGTGGTCGTTGTTGCAAAGGTGTAGAATGTGGCACTTGGCTATATTTGAATGACGTCCCATCAATCCATTTCACGTATTCCGAAGACGACCATTCCATGATAGAATTTTTAGCCATTTTGTCGGTGTTTCACAATCTCTGTTTGATCAGTATCTTTGAATTTTATTAAGCTTTTCACAGTTTTTCAATATATTTTCTCGCTCGAACTTATTTCTAATTCTTTTACTTACCACTTTTTATATGAGGGTTGTATCAATCCGTAATAATCCAAGCAAGCAAGCACTTCGTGTCAGTAGCATTGACGTGAACGCACATGAGCGGCTTCACGGAACAATTTTGTACCAAATACGGCTCTTTCATGTTCCGCGAACAAGTGTTTGATAGATCCAGATAGCCGCTCCATAGATCGTTTGTAAATCTATCAGATTTTTGAAATTAATGTAGAATATTTATAATCAAAGGCTATTTTCAAATTAGAAACGTTTGAAGCGGTTGGAGCGGCAATTTGACAACTGTTAATTTTAACTGACACGTAGTGCATGAATTATTATGAAGCGGCTAATCAAATCATTATTCACTTGTTTGGAGCGGTTCATGGACGACTTTGTACCGACGAATAAATGTATACTAGTAAATATGTGGCTGCGAAAAAAAATTAACAGTTGTCAAATTGCCGCTCCAACCACTTCAAACGTTTCTAATTTGAAAATAGCCTTTGATTATAAATATTCCCAACTTAACTGTCAACTACAAAAACAAAAATAATTATAATCTTCATCTTGATGTTTTTTCCACTGTTTTTATTTTAATATAAAAGGTGAAATGAATTTTTTTTTAAATTTTTATGTCTATACTGGATCGACTGGTTTTACTTCTACTATTCTGAGTCTTCATTCAGGTTATGAAATTTGTAAAAACAATTGTTCTGCTTTATGCAAAGGTGTACTTTGCATTTTTTGCAATAATAGACACTTCTGAGTGCACAACCTTCCAATTTACATCTAACTCCTTTTGAATCGAGTGCTGGAAGATGTGAAATTTGATCAAAACGTGCCGCGAACTTCGGGGGTTTCTCTCTTAGTCTTTTGACTGCTTTCTTCGACTTCGGCTTTAAATGTCGCTGAACGCTCTCGTTCACATTGGTACGCTGCATTTTCTCTGTAATCACCTTCACCGTTGTGCTTTTGATGTGAAGCTCACTTTCATTAACACCGCAAATTATATCCGATTGCAATAGATTGCTGTAGCCATTGATTTTGGTGATGATTTCGTCGTACATTTCGTCGATGATTTTTGGTTTGATGCGAACATTTTTTTTAATGTTCTTCACATATTCATTGATCAGATTTTCAACATCATTTGCTTGTTTCGAAATTCCATCTTCGATTCCTTTCACCTGATCCACAATATCCGTTGACCGCAATTTATCTTTGAGCGATTCCATCTTAATAATGCCACGGTATCGTGGCTGATGTTGTTTACGTGCAAGAAAACCACGTACAATCTTTTGAATGTACATTGCATATTTGTTGCGATATTTTATACGATCTCTCACTGTAAAAGAAAACATATTTCACATTGGATAGATTAAAAAACTCACATTAGCCAATTGTCAAATAGTTCTAATAGATTTGATTGCGTTTAGCTTACATTTAATTACGCTTATAACACCGAATATTGCTTTAGTCCATCTAGACCGTACCAAACATATTTTGACATTTGCAACAATTGTTTTTAAATTTTCTGAATCCGATTTCATGATGCGATCGAATTCAATGAATTTGCCCGGTCGGAAGAAGACTTTGGTGGTTCCAAATTTAAAGTCTTTGCGATTTAGTTTTAGCGAATGTAACATTGCTTCGCAAAACACTTTTGGATCCAATTTTTCTAGCTCTGGCGGCAAAAAATTCCAGTACATATTGTACAATTCATCAAATGGAACGCGAGATGGATAACCATGCTCCATGACCTTCAACGCAGATGTTGTTCCCGAAGAATTTAGCTGCTTCAATACTGAAATCCCTTCGAATTCACAGCTGGTCATTCGACTGTTTGGCTTAATACAATGAATGTAATTCGTGGCCTGGGACAGAGAAAAGAAGATCATTAAATTCTAAATTTGATTAGATTGTTACATTTTTACGGATTAAAGTTACATTTTGTTCAAGTTTCTCCATCAGTTCACTCATTTCAGATTTGAGCTTGGATCCAATCGAAATGAGGTTCAATTTTCCTCTCAAAGATGCGCTGTCATTTTTCGCCGTGAAAAGTTGCTTAACGAATGGGTTTGCTGATTCTTGTAACAATACTTCCAATGATCCATGCAACGGATCGTTGTTCTTATCAATGAATTGACTCTGTGTGGAAAATTGGAACTTAAAATGATTCAGTCGAATTGAATTTTTTTAATGATTGTTTGTGCGATATCTCTGAAGAATTTGCATTCAGTTAGTAAATAGCTATAATCTGAATTGAAATTTAAAGATGAAATTTCATTTTAAAGATTTATTAACAATCTGTTATATAATAGTTCCGCAGAAAGACCCGGCGGTGTCGTTTCTGTTTTACCAAACTCTGTAGGCTTTGCCTATGGGTGATTCAATTTTCAATTTTACTTACCGTATTGTAGGAAACATCCCCGGCAAAGTGTCGAATGAGAAAACCTTCTTCATCGCGCAACGTTCGATGGCCCTTGAATCGTGACGCTCTTGGTAGCATCAATCGGATATGTCCATTCCAAGCCTTATGCACCTCTAATGTGAAGTGATCGAATGATGGCTTTGGTAATTTTGATTCTTCGTCGAGCAACGCAAAAATTCCATTGGATTTTGATTCGATCAATTCTGCATTTTATGGTCCATAAATTATGGAAAAACCAAAATATTAATCTCTTGTTTGGACAAAAAATATCTCTATACTTACCAATAATATCTTGGTTGTCAGTGAAATGAATATCTGGTACCTTCAATCCTTCACGGCGATACAGTTCTTGCTCGTGCTTCAAAATGTTATCGTTAAAAAATTTCTGAAGTTTTTCATTACAATAATTTATACAAAATTGTTCAAATGAATTAACGGTAAAAGATTCGAAACCGGCAATATCCAGTACACCAATGTAGTAGGTGGATGAACTAAATGGAATGCTTCGATTTATGTTAGCAACGATGCGATCGAATAAATGGCTGTACAATGCCTTTCCTAGAGCATCTCTGGCATTGCTTGCCTCATAAATTTTCAATGGAACCCTGAAATAATTTGTTAAAAAAAGAGTTCAATACATTTCCATTCTTTCATTGCACAATCCAAACGAATCAATTTACTCACATAATAACTGCTGCCTTATTGTCACCGCGTTTGCTTTGCATAGCGCGCGAAACTAAGGCTTGTCTCAGTTCAAATGAATCAACACCGAGCAATTTAGATGTGATCAAAATCGAATGTTCGGATGACTTTGAAACTTGACATCCACCGCCAGCATCTTCTGGATTCTCCTCAAAGCTGATGTTGCCCAAGTGCAAAACACCTGCAATTAGCGCATAGATGTCGAACTTTGTGGCTTGACTCATACCCAATCGTGACAAAGCCTCATCTAATTGTTGAAAATTATCATAATCATCCAGAACCGGATCTTTGATCGGTCCGTTGGTCATGTGGGCTTTTGATTTGCTCGATTCTGATATTTTTCGATCGGTCGATACCGTTGCAAAATACTGCGTGCATCCTGCCAAATACTAATCCAAACAAAAATATTTTTTACAAAAATTGAATTGAAATAAAATCAGTTTTCTATTTCGCATATTATTGTTACATACTCTATAATCTTCGGGTCGCCCCAGGCTGAGTTTTTCTTTAAGGTCCTGAGGAGCGCCAGCGCAAATCATATAGAATACATGATAGTTTCTTTCTTCTTGGCTTTGAGTGCAAATACGACTTTTTTCGAGTAAATAATGTGAAATATATCCACCAACAACTTGACATTCTGAATCGTAATGTATCTGTGAAAAAATAATTTTCGTTCGAATCAATAGCATATTCCAATGTGTATATTGAATATTATATGTAAAATACAATATCCATAATCTGATTGTGTCACTGACATAGACGCATAGACTACCTGAATGAATTTACCAAACCGTGAGCTATTGTTATTTCGGGTGGTTTTGGCATTGCCAAATGCTTCTAATATTGGACTTACATCGAGAATTTTTTGCTCAATGGCCCCGGCAGTCACTTGCGAACGACATAAATACGTAAGTATATATTTCGATGATTCAGTTTTACCAGATCCCGATTCGCCGGACACAATTATCGATTGGGAAATCTTCAACACACGCATATCACGAATCGCTTTGTCGGCTTTGATATGATAAAAAATATAGAAAAATAAATTTTTGAACTGGTTTCTCCAAGTTGAAAAATGATAAATTTATTAAGTATGCAACAAAAAATAGAAATACATACCGATCGCAAAAACATGCGGAGGTAATTCACCTAAAGATTTTCCCTTGTACCGCTTAATGGCCGCATCCGAATATAAATCCTTCATTTCCTTATATGGATTCAACGCAATCAAAATATTTGCCACATAATTCTATGGATAAATTTGACATTTGATTAGAAATTCATCGATTTTGAATGAAAATATTTCTATATTTGCAATGGTCAACTTACATACACTTTATCCTTAAAATACCGATTCTTCAAGTTTTCCAAAAATGTGGCTTCGTTGAAAAACAATAGTTCGCCTGAAATGGTGTGAAATAAGGATAATTTCAAGTCAATCAGATGAAATAAAAAAAAGTCACTCTACTCATATCGAATATTGAAACCAATGAAATAAATTCTTACAACTGTCATCATGATCTTGTGGTCCAACACATGATGGAAAAATTTCACCCGCTAAGCACGTCCGATTTGGATACTTTTTGTCAATGGGAATAACTTCAAATTTGTCTTGTCCAATTTCTGAGATTTTGCCCTGAATATAGCATTCCGTTGATTCTCTGATCCAGACAATTTGCGAATCAACAAACATCGTGAACAACAAAAATGTAAGAAAAAAAATCAGAACGAAGCTATGAACGAATAGGTGCTACACTCGTCCTGTCAAACACTTGCACTGTGACAGTGCTTTTGTTATTCACTCACAATTGTTCGCGGAATATGAACGTACGGTATTCGGTACAAAGTCATTCCATCAACTCTTATGCATCAATGCTACTGACACGTAGTACTATGCCTGTTTGGATTATTATGGAGCGGCTAATCAAAAGAAACAATATGCTTCAAAAATCGACCAAAAAAAAAATTACTAAAGCGGTTTTATATATTAAATTTCTAATGTAGATACTTTCTCATACAAAATACTTTTAAAAGTTTGATTTTTAACACGAACAAATGATAATTTTTTGGAGCGGCCATTTTAACAAACATGATTGCGGTTTGCGGAATATGAACGTACCGTATTCGGTACAAAGTCATTCCATCAACTCTTATGCATCAATGCTACTGACACGTAGTACTATGCCTGTTTGGATTATTATGGAGCGGCTAATCAAAAGAAAGAATATGCTTCAAAAATCGACCAAAAAAAATTGCTAAAGGGGTTTTATATATTAAATTTCTAATGTAGATACTTTCTCATTCAAAATACTTTTAAAAGTTTGATTTTTAACAGGAACAAATGATAATTTTTTGGAGCGGCCATTTTAACAAACATGATTG